ATCAATTGCCAATTCAAATATCAGAATATGGTAAGCACTTTAAAGATTTTGTGCAAACTAATAGATTAGTTAAAATTTTTAAAGAAGCATTTGATAGGGCTGGAATTGACTCTTTTTCTAATTTAGACATGAATTCACCAGATTTATGTTTTCATGGATTGCGAAAAAGAGGTGGGTGTACTAATTATGTTGGTCAACATTTTTATATATTCTCTGAATATTTTAATTCCACTTATTATTGTGGACCTTCATGTCTAGTTAATCATTTAGGTAATATATCAACAACTAACTGGAGAGAAATGCACAAAACTTCTCATAGTGAAGAGAATAATCCTAATGAAGGTGAAGTTACAGCTGAGGATGAAGATGGTACAGGCCAAGATGAAGATAATGGTACAGCCGGAGATAGAGGTAGAAATGGTGTTGCTAGAGGCGGTGGTATTACTAGAGGTTACTGAAATAATATTAAAAGAATTTTCTATATTTCCAACTCATATTAATGAAAATCATTGGCTCCTTAGATTTCCAATTAATTACAGGTTCTCATTCTGGTAATTCAATTTTTCAATTACTAAAGATCCCAATAGAGTTTTTTGAATTAAAAATCAAAATTATTGCCACTGCGACCGATAATGCTTCTAATAATATAACAATGTCCGATGCTCTTGAAAACTTTGCAACAAAAATAGCATCAAAATATAACCCAAATACTCCATTCCAAGTTGGTGTCACTAGAGGCAGAGGAAGAGGCAGAGGTGGTTCTACTATTAGAATGAGAGGAGCAAATAATATTGGCAGTTCCGCACCAATAGGTAATTGACAAATAATATATAATAAATAAAATAAAATTAATTTATCTATAAATACTATTCATCTCTTACCATTAGAAGAGAGGTTAGCACGTGGTCACTGGTTTGATAAAAATGAATTCATAGTTTCAAACAGTTTTACTGTATTTATGGATGGTAATCTAACTCCAACAAGCAGCGCACCTATAAAACAATATAGAAACAATATGCATAGTGGTAAAGAAAAAATAGAATGCATATCGACAATTGGTATTGTTGATGGAACAGGAAAATTTCAATATCTCTCTCATTCTTTCCAAGGATCCATACCTGATCAAGTATCATTAAATTTTCTTAGTCTAGTAGATGTAGTTGGTTTGCTTACAGATGATGAATTTTTGGTTGCTGATGTAGCATTTCCTAAAATTGGGCAATATTGTAAAAATGTTATATTTCAAAAATATCCAAAAAATCCAAAATAATAAAATAAATCAATTTAATTTAAAAAAAACAATGTTTAAATTTTTCTCATTGTATACAATGTTTAAAAAAACAATGTTTAAAAAAAACAAATAAAAATATAATAGTAAAAAAAAACAATGTTTTAATTTAAAAAAAACAATCTATACTAGTAATAAACCAAATTAAATAAATAATAATTAAAATAAAAATTTTCAAATTTTCTAAATAATAAATAATTCTAGTTATCAAATAAATATACAATTATTTGTTTATGAATTGTATAAATTTTTTTTTTTTTTAAATTAAATAGTTTAATTTTTTTTTGCAAATATATTTAAAATTTATTAATATTTTTTTTTATTTTTTTTTAAAATAATAATCACCTTTGAAGAAAGTATATCGTATACGTTTAATCTTGTAAATTACAACAGAAACAATGGTAACTAAACCCGCACAAATAACCATTGCAGGAATAGTTATTGATAATTTATTCGATTCCTTGGCAACTGTGGGTTCTTCTGAAATAGAAAAGTAAAAAATTAATAAGTTGTTCAATAAATATATTTTTTTATATAATTTTATAATTACAGTGATAAGTAAAGTTATTTTTTATAAAAGCAGTTTGACCATCAACAGTAACATAAATATCAAATGTTTTATTTTGATATTCATTTTTTTGTTTCATATCAACGGAATTTAATAAGCATGTAATGATGTCGAAATCCTTTAACACACTTGGCCATCTGCACTATGATTACTTTGAATTTGTTAAATTTCGAATCTTTTTTCTGTTCCATTATCTAAATAATATTTACATTTAAAATTTTTTTATATTACTATTATCATTATTTTTATCATTAGTATTATCTATATTATAAGTTGTATTGCCATTAGTTTTGTTTAATTATTTACATAGGCAGTGGAAGTTAAGAATGGTGAAGCAATTTTGTTTGGTGCCGTACTGCTATTATTTGGTGATTTATTTAGAGGTGGAACTGGTTGTGAAAAAAAAGCTGCTGATTTAAAAGATGGACTTGGTGGTGAGTTTTGTTTTTTAAAATGCGTTTTTACCCAGTTTGAGTCCATTGTAATTACTGCTACTATTTAATAAATTGCCTTCTAAAAACTCATTGGAGAGATTGATTTTATTACTAAGATTGATACTGTTATTATTATTGTAGTTACTATTGTATTCAGTATTTTGAGTGGAACCAAAAAAATTTGTGCCGCTGTCATATCTGTTTCTAGTTTTATCATTATTACTACCACTATTATCATCATCTATTTCTGTGATATCAAGTTTATTATCTCTGATAATTAATTTGAAATTATTATTATTTCTCCTATTACTACTAAAATTATTTTTGTTTCTAATCTTATTTTTATTGTTGCTATTGCTATTGTTATTGTTGCAACTACTTTTTAATTTTAACGTTATCTATATTAGATTTGAGTGGTATTCCTCTATAGTATAATTATATTCATGTTCTTGAATGATTATTTCCAATACCTCTTCAAACCGTTTTAATATTTTATATTCATTCTTATTTGCTCAAAGTTGAATGTTTCTTGAAGCAGTGATGAGTAACCTCTTTTTAATATTTCTATAAACTATTTAATATCGTTAGTTAATACCGAATATCTTTGTAAAACAAATTTACTATTTCTGTTATATGAGAAGTAGTGTTTATAGTTACCTTAACTCTTCAAAGTTTGAATTTTTAAAAACTTTACATTTATTAAAGCAAGGAATTTTCATTTTCTTTTTGGTTAAAGGTTATTACACCTTTTATTTTTATTTTTTTGTTACATTATCTAATGTTAATTTAAATTGCTTACTTTGGTTGAAGTATTAAAGATATTCTTATGTTAAAAAAAAAAATACCTCACACAATAATAATTTATATTTTTTTGAAAGAAATTTAAAAATTTTTTTAATTATTTTTTTTAAAAAAATTAAGAAAAAAAATTAATGAAATAAATATAACTTTTTTTTATATTTTATTCTCTATCTTTATTTTTTTATATCTTTATTGGTACAACATTCTAATATTTGAATCATTTTAATTACTTCGTCTCTTTCTTTTGCCACTTGATCCAATTTCTTATTCGTTTCATCAATACAAGCTTCTAAACAACCAACTGTTGCTCTACATTGATCGAGATGACGAGCCACTTGGTCCATTACTTGTTTCAGTTCTTGGGATTGATTATTTGATTGAATCTGTAATGGCTGATATTGATTTTTTAAATCTTCTTCTTTATTCTTAAATTGAATAATTGTGTTTTGACAATGAGATTTTTCTTGTTCTATCTTTTGAACTAGTTGTTGACTTTCATTATTTAATTGTTCATTATCAAACTTTAATTGATTCACCTTTCCATTCTCTTTAAATATGTTGAATTTTCTCTTTTTTGAAACTTTAAATAACTCTATCAATTCATCATTTAATTTATCTAATTGTTGTTGATTTACATTCTTTTTCTAAATGATAATAGTAATTTAAATTTCATAATTAGTATCTATAGTTTTATTATAATATTAAAATAGTATTTAATATTTACAATTAAATAAAAATGTTTCTTGGTTTTTTTAACACCAAGGTCTTGCTGTAAAAAGTTTATCACTAAAATTAAATCTAAATAAAATCTTTTTGAATAAATTGATTGTGGGCTTGTAATATCTTTATTATTACACGATACATGTTGATCTGGTTTTAATTTATCATAACCCGCCTTATCTATCTTTTCATATTCTAAACTGAATATTTGACCAAAAGTTGTTTTAATTCTGGTGTTGAAAGTTTATTATATCTGGGTGGAATATTATTATTATTATTATTATTATTATTATTATTATTATTATTATTATTATTATTATTATTATTATTATTATTATTATTATTATTATTATTATTATTATTATTATTATTATTATTATTATTATTATTTGAAGTACTATTTTCTAATGTTGAGTTAATATTTGATGTATCTATTAAAGGAAAAATAAATAATGATAATTAGTAATTATTATAGATTTATTTTATGTGTTTTATATTTACCTTTAATACTATCACTATTGTTATTGTTACTATTTTCGATAGTATTTATATAATTATCACAAATATTATTTGGAAATAATGATGACATTTTTTTTTGTTTAATGATATTTTAAAATTCTATTATAAATATTTATGTAAAGGAAATTAAATAAAAAATAAAAAATAAAAAATTAAAATTAATTTTTTTTGTCGCACCATGCTGCCCTTAGAAATTTTTTTTTTTTTTTTTTTTTTTTTTGAAAATTTTTTATTAGATATTTTTTATTGAAAAATTTTATTATCATCATTTATAATTACAATCATTATTTACTCTTTCTTTCACTTATAAAAAAATAAAATTATAATAATTGTATTTTCATAAAGTTACTGAATAACTCTTTGAATTTGAAATTAAAAATATAAAATTTTTATTTTTTATTTTCTTTTAATTTTAATAATTTTTTATTTTTCATTTTAAAAATTTATGATTTTTTATTTTATAAAAATAATAAAAGAAAGAACCAGTAATAATAACAATAGCAATAGCTTTAGCAACTGCAATAGCAATAACAATAATAATGATATAAATAATATTTGTGTTGATGCTCTATAATGATTCATTCAACTTGCTTCAACTGAACTTCAAGAAAAAGAGAAAAAGAGAACAAGAGAAAAATAAAAAAAGCAAAAACAATCAAAAAGAGTAGGTGTTAAGTAACAATCAAATAACAATTAAATTATAATAAAATACTAATTTAAATTTTATATTTATAATTTTAGTTACTAGTATATGATCAATTGATATATATATATATATATATAATCAATGATAATAATACAGTGGGTTTTTAGAACCAGATCCAGAAGAAGCTGAAAATGAAAAAGATAAAGAAACTGAAGAAGATGAAATTGAAATTAAAATTGAAATTGAAATTGAAAATCAAGAACCTCGTTCGGAATGGATTAAAGATAGTGAATATTATCCTTCAGGTGTTACATTCTCCCCAAGAGCAATTAAATGATATAAAGTTTATGAAAACCAATATTTTACCGCGTGAATATGAAGAGCAAGGTCCAAAAGAATCACCTCCATCAAATATTTGAATTTGCTTTTTGTAATTATTTGTTGAAATAACTAAACGGTTGAGAAAGTCAGAAAAATATAATTCAAAAACATACTGAACAAATTTTTATCATCATTAGCCTTTTCTTCTTCAATACCTGAATCGTTTGGTACGACTTGATCATCAGCTTTTTCTTTTTCACTAGCTATTTTTAAACTATTTTTAATTGCCCCAGCTAATTCCTCTTTGTCCAAATCCTCTTCATTGCTGCCTGTATTGTCTTCATTTTCTTTCTTTGAAAAGAATTTAGAGATAAAGTTGTTCACATGTTTTTGAATTAGATTTTCTGACTTTCTCAATCGTTCAGTTATTTCAACAAAAAGCATAAATTTCAGCAAAAGAAAAAGCAAATTCAACACTACAATCATCACAATCAAATACAATAACACAATCAAATTCAGCACCACAAAAGATTCAAGTTACCATCCCCAACGTTCCCCCAATTAAAAATAAAAACACAGCCTTTAAAATCTATTTTATATAATTTTTTTTAAAAAGTCAATTTTCAGTTTTATTTTATTCTAAATAAATAATTAAAAAATAATAATATAATTAATCTATTTAGGTTTATATTTAACCTGCTTCTTGGTGTTGAGGTGCAGAGTATTTTTCGGTGATGCAAATTGGGTTAAATTTTATCAATAATCTTATTTCTTTACCTTCTTTGATTGCTGCTGCCATACATTATACCACTATTTCGGTAGTGTTGGGATATTTGATCTTTATTTTGTGCCACAAATTGTTCTATAATATTTGTTTTTGATCAAGTTGGTAATGTAGTGATATTGCTGACCATAAAGACAATCACCAACCACATTAAATTTTGATTTTGATTTTATAACTCTGGGTTTTATAAAGTTGAACATTGAACCAATTCTATTTGAAGCAACTGAAACTATTAAATAAAAACTATATAGTTTTAACTAAAAGGTATACCATGGTAAAGTAATCTTTTGTGGTGCTGAATTTGCATTTTCTTTTGCTGAAATTTATACATTTTGAATTATTTGTTAAAATAACTGGACGATTGAGGAAGTCTGAAAAATATAATGGTAGCAAGTCGTATCTTGAGTGATCCATTGGAAATGACGACGCATCAGGGCCCACAAGTTAATCGTGCACAATTTGAATCTGTGATGAAATATATTGAGCTTGGTAAAAACGAAGGTGTTCGTATGGTATGTGGTGGCCAACGTTGGAGATAAGGGCTACTATACTGAACCAACAGTTATTGCCGATGGCATCTATTCAATGAAAATTGCAAGAGAGGAAATCTTTGGACCAGTAATGGCTGTAATGAAATTTGATACCACCATTGTTCGTGCCAATAGCTCAGAATATGGCTTGGTAGCAATGAAGAGGAGTTTGATAAATAGTTGTTCAGAATTAATTTTTTCTTTATAATTGCTTTAATTAATATAAAATTTTAAATTAGTATAATTATAATTTAATTGTTATTTTACTGTTACCTAATACCCACTTTTTTTTTTAACGTATTTTTTTTATTTGTTTTTCTTTCTTTTTCTTGAAGTTCAGTTGAGAAAAGTTGAAATGTGCTCACAAAAATCAATAAAAAAAATCAATAAAAAAAACTTAAAAAAATTTAAAAAAAAATTCAAAAAAAAAAAATTTTAAAAATACGATCTTGATGCTTTGAGGTTAATTTTAAAAAAAAAAATTTGAAATGAATTTTATTTGAAAATAAATAAATTTTATTTAAAAAATAATATCAATTTTTAACTGTCTTATTTTATACCCACAAAAATTTTTTTTTTTTAAAAAAGAAATTATATTTTTACCCAAAAAATAAATTATATAATAAAATACAGAAAATGATTATGGATTTTGAGGAAAATTTTAAATATTAAATTATTTACAACAAAATATTTATTTAATTTTTTTTATTTTTTTATTTTTTTTTCTATTTTTTTTTTAAAAAAATTCGTTCTCACTTTGTTTTATCTTGTATAAATAAAAATAATATTTAACAATTAAATAATTCAAAAGTTTGATAAAAATAACCAAATTGTTAATCTATAACATCAAGTTCATTACCAGTATAATATATATAATAAAATTTTACATTAAATATATATATTAATTTTCCATATTGTATATTATTAACGAGTAAAAATTCGAATTTCGTTGATAATATAATAGAGAATCACGATTTTTTTTTTTAAAAAATTATTGGTTAAATTTTTTTTTTTTTATTTTTTTTTTTTTATTTTTTTTATTTTTTTATTTTTTTTTTTTGAATTATAAAAACCTATTAAAAAATTAAATTCTAGCATTCTATTATTCAGCCTCCTTTAGGATAAGTAATAAATTAAAAGTATATACTTCAAATAATATTTTTAATTATAATCTATTTGTTTTTTTTATTTGTTTAAAAGTTTTTATATTTATTATTACAACCATCATCATTATCGTTATCATTGCCATTATTATCTTTTTTTTATCATTATCTCTATCAATTTTTTAATATAATAAAACCCAAGGGTTTTTTCGGTTGCCAAAAAAAAAAAAAAAAAAAATCCTTATAAATTTTTTATTTTTAAATTTATTTTTAATTTATTTAAAATTTAAAAT